AAATTATATTTTGAAAGCCGCCCCAAACGGAACCTTTATTTCTGACCAGGGGTGACAACATGAGAGTATTAAGTTTGAAATTATTTTATTAAACGTATGATCGTCCTCATCCATGAAGCACAATTTTCATGTTTTGCCCCATATTGGCAGTACCTAACATTTTTCCTATGGCTATTAATCATCGAAATTGTATGGTTACATTAATTTGTGTTGAATCTTAAATTTGAAAAGGTTTAGTTTGACTACATCTTGCACGGAAATTTTTTACTTGTCTGTAGAGCATCAAGTATAAGGACATATATTTATTTATTTCATAATTCTCATTCTTTTTTATTTTTTGAATAAATATGCTATAATTTCCAATGGTATGATGATGATATTGATTATTAGGGCTGAGTAAAGAATCCGTGAAATCTGTAATCTGATCCGGTCCAGTCAAATCTAATAGGTTTGGATTAATTTTTTGAATCCGTAGTTCTATTCCCGATTGAAAAATTAAAAATCCATAATTCATGGATCGGTTCAGGATTAGAATTAATTCGGATCGTATACAAATAACCTATATTTATATTATACACCCTTCCCCATAGTATTTTCTCTTATTCCATATAAAACTTAAACCCAAACCTAAACTCGCATAATATCTTCTTTTATTGATTTTGTTTGTTGGTTTTTAATTTTAATTTGCAATAATCTAAATATTTATGATGGAACCAGTTTTCTTATGATTATTTAAATTCTAGAACAGTATGTCGCCATTATGGAAAAACAAGTTGCTATTGTGGAACTAATATGATATTATGTTTATATTTTTATGAAATTAAAATGTTTTATATTTTTTTTGTTATTTAATTATGTGAATCTGTAATTCTAAACCGATCCAATCCGTGTTTAAATGAATTGGTTTGGATTGGTTCCATGATTTAAATGGATTGGATTGATTCCAATTTTTCAAGAACTGTAAATAACAGATTAGTTCTAATTTTATCTCAATCCAATCTAATCCAGACCATAGTAACCCCTATTGATTATTGAGCTAGAGTTCCCCTGCCTGCAGTTGTAAGAGTTAAGCAGAGTGTAAAACCGTTTTCAGCTACCAAAGGAGTGCATGTTTTCATCATCCAGCTAACTAAACTGATTTGAATTAAATTATCTACCACCACGGGACAAATAACAACAAAATGCATGATTTACCCTTTCACTCCTACCTGCCTCTACCTCAAATGTGCCTACCTTTATGTCAAATTTATTTTATTCTATTTTATTATTTATTTATTTATTTATTGAGAAAGTAGCTAGTTGGAAAGCATTCATGACCTTTCAAATATTCTGTATTTAGTTAAGAAATTTAGAAAGAGATTTGAAAATATAAAAGAAAATGAAAAAGGTAAGTAAAATATAAATAAAATATATATACATTTCATTCAGTTTCGCACATATTTTTTTTTTTTTTAAATTCTCTAAGAAAAAAATTGACTACGGTTTTTGATCAAGCTGCCCCTTTCATTATTTGTAAGTATACAATAGATAAGTGGCCTCAATCACACAGTGACAGTACTCCTCTGTGTATCTACTTGGTCTCTGTCCGTGGGCCCCCAATACCAAAATGTACAACCATATATTTGTAACAAATTTCTATTTCACATGTCCATTTCCCTATCACTACTAAATTATTTTCTAAATGTTTGAATAATATCAACTTTGTTGCAACTTGTAGTTTAACTTGACCTTAGAATTGGAACGCGAAATTTCCATAACAATTGGACCTCTTGTAATAGTACAAAAGGTTATAGGGCATGTTTAATTGGAAGGATTAAAGCATGAGATTAGGATTATTAATCCGTGGGCCCAATTTGTTTTGACATTTTGGTTTAGGACTATTAATCCAATGGATAATTAATCCAATAAATTTGTAAGATTATTAGTAATGGGATAGGGGTGGGATAGTTAATACCACATTAATTTGATAGGATTATACCCCTATTGATTATTGAGCTAGAGTTCCTCTGCCTGCAGTTGTAAGAGTTAAGCAGAGTGTAAAACCGTTTTCAGCTACCAAAGGAGTGCATGTTTTCATCATCCAGCTAACTAAACTGATTTGAATTAAATTATCTACCACCACGGGACAAATAACAACAAAATGCATGATTTACCCGTTCACTCCCACCTACCTCTACCTCAAATGTGCCTACCTTTCTGTCAAATTTATTTTATTCTATTTTATTATTTATTTATTTATTTATTGAGAAAGTAGCTAGTTGGAAAGCATTCATGACCTTTCAAATATTCTGTATTTAGTTAGGAAATTTAGGAAGAAATTTGAAAATATAAAGGAAAAGAAAAAAGGTAAGTAAAATATATATACATTTCATTCGGTTTCATACATTTTTTTTTATTTTTTTTTTTAAATTCTCTAAGAAAAAAATTGACTATGGTTATTGATCAAGCTGCCCCTTTCATTCTGTCACTTCAACGGGGGAGGAAAGGTAGATATTATTATTTGCAAGTATACAATAGATAAGTGGCCTCAATCACACAGTGACAATACTCCTACTTGGTCTCTGTCCGTGGGCCCCCAATACCAAAATGTACAACCATATATTTGTAACAAATTTCTATTTCACATGTCCATTTCCCTATCACTACTAAATTATTTTCTAAATGTTTGAATAATATCAACTTTGTTGCAACTTGTAGTTTAACTTGACCTTAGAATTGGAACGCGAAATTTCCATAACAATTGGACCTCTTGTAATAGTACAAAAGGTTATAGGGCATGTTTAATTGGAAGGATTAAAGCATGAGATTAGGATTATTAATCCGTGGGCCCAATTTGTTTTGACATTTTGGTTTAGGACTATTAATCCAATGGATAATTAATCCAATAAATTTGTAAGATTATTAGTAATGGGATAGGGGTGGGATAGTTAATACCACATTAATTTGATAGGATTATTAATACCTCACTATTAGTATTGTGAATCAAACATGACCATAGTGTTTGGTGCCAAATAAATAAAAATAATAAATAATAATAGAAAGATATCCAAGACTTTAAACCAAAAAGTATATCCATTCCTATTTCCTCAATAATATTATACTTCACTTTATAAGACATTGTTTATGTTAGTATTTTGAATCTACAATTGTAAGATATTACTAGAGCTCGTGTTTGAATCATTACACCACCAAGTGTAACTATGCTCCATATGATTAACAAAATATATGCTGTTAAAAAAAAAAAAAATAGTAGAGTTGTTTGCTTGTTTGGCAACAGTCATAAGGTAGTATTTAGAAACCACTGTTTTTGACTGTTGTGTGATATTGGGCATTCCATTAGGTATCTTGAATTCTATTCATTCGTCTCCTCTTCTTGCGGAAACACAGACACTCCTGGAGGCTGCTAAAGTGGGCTGTCAACATGAATATCAAATGCCTATCTTTTTTTACTGACTGCAAGGTGCTTGTAGATGGTTTTGTACAATCTTGCAAGCTGGATTGGGAGGTGGCTCTAGTTATTCAAGATAAGTGGTCCTTAAGTAGATGTTTTGAGTTTCTATGAGTAATTAAGGTAGACAAGCAAAACTAGTTGAACCTGCACATAAGTTAGCTAAATATGCAAAACTCTATATCTTCAATTTAGTAATGATATGTTTGTTTTTTGATTGTTCTCAAAAACAAAAAAATGTTTAACCAATAAAAATGCCCACCAATGTCACGCCCCTACATTGGAAGAAGACCAAACACAACAACAATACTGTAGATAGTCAGTTGAATAGCCAACTCAACACACGCCATAAGAGTGTTTTGAAAAATTAGTAAAAAATTGACTTTTTAACTTTTTTTTTATTTTATTGTCTCTTTATGAATAAAAAATATAAGAGATGATATAATCTAAAATGAATAAAAAGCTAAAAGCTAAATAAAAAGCTATTTCTCAAAAGACTCCATAATCTCCATAATTGAAGAACTATAAATTGATTCATGCTTGTTATCTATGTATTTATACATGTTCTTTGCCGCAACCCTATGGGGGTGCTGCTTTGCCTTCAATACACAACCCTGTTGTGTCTTTTTGTGAGAGGTCGTACACACAGCGTCTTTTCGATGATCTAAACCATTTTATATTATAAAATACGATAAAAATATTGTTTATATAAAAAATCAAGTTAATCCGATATTCGTAACCTAAAGTCCTAATTACTTTTAAAAATTATGTTACCGTTAAATTTTATAAAAAACAAATGTGCTTTTGTTATAGGACTATAAATATCTAATTAACTTAATTTTTTGCATGACTGATAAACTCAACAAACTTTACAAGACGAACGATTCAGATCATCGAAAGAGGTTTGGGACGACGCTCCACAAGAGAGCACAGCAGGCTGCTCTGCTCAAACAGGATCCCCAAAACCCCTGTTTGATGGACAGGAAAGGAAATTTGATAGAAAACATATGCAATACAACGTCATATTTGGTGAATTACTGAAATAGAATAATCAAAACCATCATAACAATGTCATTTGAAGAGTATACATTTAACCTATTCCTAAGACGATGGAAGAAGAAAGTAGAAAAGCTGCATTTGCACATAAATTCAGGAATGACGAACAATACAGATGGACATGTGAAGCACCACCACGCAACCTCGCCAACCCATCGTCTGTGTTGAAGACGTGCCTCGTTTTTATGATAGACAATTCCAACCAAAATACATAATCAGGACCATATACAAAATTGGACTCTTCCACCATAATCAAGGAGCACTGTAAAACTCGTCAATATATATATAAAATCAACAATGCTTGTGTAACACGAAAAATGTTTAGCGAAAATCATCACGAAAGCATTTGATCAGTTGGCCAGCAAATCGTCCTGTCAAGCTTTCAAGATGATTTTCTCATAACATTTTTCGTGTAGCCGAGACTTACAATTCAGCCTATCTTTTTAAAAATATTTTCAAATTAGTGGTAAAGTTCATAATACTTGAATTCAGAAACTTTTTCACTAACGCGTAAATATATTTTAAGTTTCCCACTGAGATGAAAAATTGAGTAAACAAAACAAACCAATAATAAAATCCATCAGCGATTAGACGATAATGACCGAAATTAACAACAACAGTTTCAATGAATAAATAGGTCTACTCTTGTTTTTGAATCTTACAACAATTTCAAAGGGCGACATAAGATCTAGGTCTGTGCATCGTCCATCGTCACCTGTGTGCGGTCACCAACGTCTCAATGAATCTCAAGCCGTCAAATCTTGGAGCGAATTTATCCTTACCCGACGATGACAAAAGCGAATCGCTAACTCCACCCTTGTCCGAAAATGACGATGACGAAGAAGAAGAATGCATCTGTTTACGCAAATAAAGTATGCAATTGAAGGATCATCATAATTTCCAATTTCCATTATCATACAAAAAGGATGAATACGGCAAAAGCTTGCTCAAAGAATCAAACCGTGAAATTCAAAAGAAACCGAAGATCTGGAAAGAAGTCGTTTGATCAAAATGTTTAAATATTATGCCTCGTTTGACAACTAAAAAAAATTAAAATAAATTATCACATTACTCTCTCTAAAATTTAAACATTTTTTCAAAAAAAAACTAAAAAAATTACTTAAAAAAACTAATTCCCAAACCAGACCTCAGATTTGATGTTTTAAGCCACAAAATCCAGAAAAATAAAAATAAAAATGAGAATGTTCAGAGAAGCCAAAGAGATACCAAGCAAAACAAGAAAGAAAGAAATATATATGTATATATACCTCAATGAAGCAAGGATTGAAGGAGAGATCACGGTCGGGAGAGGTGGAGGAAGAGGAAGAGGATGTGAGAGCCACGGTAGATGCGGCGAGCATGGATGCCACGAGAGTACAGGAGCCCTTCATCTTTCCACCGTCCGATTAAGAGAGCGAAGAACAAATGGACGAAATCCGACGCCCTTCGCCGGATCTCTCTCGCTTTCGATTTCTCTTTCTCTATCGCTCTCCTTCGATCTCACATTTCTGTTCAAACCCCTTTTCCCCAGCTTTTATTGTCCGGCTAATGTTCGTGATCCCACGCTTCCCCACTTATCAAGGCATCGGTTGGCATTAGATTGGATTTTTTTTTTTTTTTAAATTATCAATAAGTCTTAATAGTTAGACTTAATTCCCATCAAATTCTATTAAAAATAAGTCGTGATAAAATTATCGTTAAAAATAATTTTTTTATGACAATTTTTTATATATATCGCTAAAAATTAATAATTAATAATTTTTTTTTTTTTATAATTTTTATAAATTGTCACTAAAACTTATAATTTAATAACTTTTTTATAACAAATTTTTCTCATCACACCTATTGAATAATAAGGCCAAGTTTGGCTAACCTAAAAAAGTGCACTTATTTCATCTTTTTATCTTTTTTGGTCACATCAATCAACATCTCCTCTCTACTTTTTCTACACATAATACAAAAAAAATCAAAAAGTGCACTTATTTAGTCTTCCTAAACTTGGCCTAAGTCTACTTATTAGGACTTACACGTAAACATCTTATTTTTTATTTGAATATTTTAGTTTGAGATTAAAAAAAATTTATTTCAAATAAATTTCTTTTTATTTTTTTAAATTTTATAAAAAAAAAATAATCATAATTTAAATGTGACATTTTTTAATTTAAAATTAAAAAATTTATTTTATTTTTTTATAACTAGTTTAACCTCAACCCAACCAACCTAACTTTTCAAACGAGTGCCGAATCGAATTTTAACTTTTAGTTTCGGCTCCATAGGTACGTACTGGGATGAAAAGAATAGAATACATACTGGTAAGTCAAATATCTATAATATATATTAAGGGAGATGATAATTTTAGTAATAAGAGTATTGTGAAATTCAAAATCTTTATATTAAGTTTAAAAAAAATTATTTTGTAAATAATTAAAAAAAATTCTATGGCCTAATTTTTATTAAATCATTAAAAAAAATCTTATTACACTTTGATTTACACATTTTAAAAGAAAAGTTAATTAATTTATTTAAAAATTTAAAAATAAAAGTTTAGTAGCAGTTTTAAAATTTAAATTTTTGTATGACTAAAATATATGAATCAATTCATATCTTTCATATATTTTTTCTTTTGATGTTTAACTTTTTAAATAATTAAAAAAATTGTTTAACTTTTATTGAATCATTAAAAAAATTATTATTATGCCTTGATTTGCACATTTCAAAAGGAAAGTTAATTCATTTAAAAATTTAAATTTTAAATTTTAAAAATGAAACTTAACTAATCAGTTTGAAAATTTAAATTTGTATACCACCAAAATATAATCAATTCACATCTTCCATACATTTTTTCTCTTGCTGTTTAATTTTGTAAGTAATTCAAAAATTATTTTTATTAATTGATAAAAAGCACGTAAACATTAAGATTATATATATATATATATATATTTTATGATATTGAGTTATTAAAATATGATTTATTATAGGTTTAAACCAAGAATTCTAAATAAATAAATAAATAAAAGACTCGAATTAGATTTTTTAGACTAATTTTTAATATTTAATCTAATATTAAAACCTCCAAACTATCTCATACGAATCACGAACCAATAAAGAAAATTTTTAATGTTTAGGTCAATGTCACATTGAAATAAATATTAAGTCGAGTAGCTTCTAGGTCACTTCTAATGTTTGGTCCAACACCACAAGTCAATACTAATCCATTTTTACATAAGAGTTATGACATAAGATTATTTATAATTTTAAGTAGACAAATTTTTAGACTTTACAAAGTAAGAAAAAATTGGCATATCAACAAATATAATTTACTACTATCATATGATAAATTAAAATTACAAAACTAACAAAAAAAATGTATTTATATTTTATCATAAATATATTTTTTTAATTTGTTCTTTAATTTTTATCAATTAAATTACGACATGCATTTTGTTATTAAGAACTTAGAACACATAATTAATGACATCTGAATAAAAATCTACTCTTATGTGTAATTCTGATGAAAATGAATATATTCTAATTGATTATAAATTATTTTTACTGCTTAGTTTTAATAAATTTTATATTATTATTTTATTTTAAAAATTAATTTTTAATTATTTATTTATAAATGTGCATAACGCAAGTAATATGCTAGTATCAAAATAAGAAAATAGTTTAACTCCATATTTTTTTAGTTGTAATTTACATAAATAAATAAATAAATAAAAAATCATAACCAAACACACATAAGAAATAATCACAGATCTCATGATTTATAATTAAAGATCTCATGAGTCATAATTAAAATAATATCATAACTAACGAAGAAAATTGGTTACAACTAAAAAAAAAAATAACATAACTATGGATATATATAATACACCCATTGTAAAGGGTGTATATAATAGCATTTCCCTGCAGTCTAAAGAAGAGAACTAGTGGAGCTTGCTATATACCACACGTGTATATATATATATATATATAGAGAGAGAGAGAGAGAGAGAGAGAGAGAGAGTGTGTGTGTGTGTTACAGAAGAACTCAAGAAGAAGAGGAAGAGAACTAGGCAAATCTCTTAAATTCAAGTAATCCAGGTAGGAACTCTTCTCCAATCTTATGAATTGAAGTAGGCAAATCTCTTAAATTCAAGTAATCCAGGTAGGAACTCTTCTCCAATCTTATGAATTGAAGTCATTACACTCATAATCCTTTAGACTTTGAGTTGTTTTAATAAGAGATCATGAATAAATAAAAGGTTAGTAGTGTAACTTGATGTTAGAAACCCATTTGAGTATCTGTAACAAAAAAGAAGCTCATTTGAGTAATTAAAGACAGAATTGTAAGAATTTAACTCAAAGACTTACATGCATGGCATGAATTCTCTGCATAAACCTCATGGATTCAAGGGGTTTCTCCATAAGTTTGGACCTTGAAGCTTTAAACACAGAGTTTATGTTTTATACTTTAATTGAAGTTTGATCTTTCCAAATTGAACTCTCGGAGTTGATCTTCCTTTTATAGTGAAGGTTCAAGTTCAAGTTTGTTTAAATAAATTTATGGGTTTGAAACATTTGAATTTGAGACCAAAATGTGGGGAAATTGTAAACCAAAACAAGAGCCATTTTCACGTTCCAGATTTTCCAGAACCGCACGTGCAGCCTAGAGCCCCGCACGTGCGGAAAACAGGATAGTGCTTAGTGTGTATTCTGCTTAAATTGCAGCTGCGAGAGCAAGTGCGGTGATGGTCACTGCACGTGCGGTTGGGACCTCCGCACGTACGGCCCTTTTGACCAGATCCGGTTTTGTTTTTGTTCCTCTTTTCCACCTTCCGGACCTCCATTTGCATCTTTTTAAAATGTTTTTCCATATGCATTACATTCATGTGCATTTTAAAGACACGAAACAAAATAAAGAATAGACTGAGAATCGAACAGGAGGAATAGAAAGAGATTGAACAATCGAATTGAATAGTACTGAATGTGATTGTAATTGTGTTATGCTTGACTTTATTTGTTTAGGTCGGACGCTGAACCATTAGTACGTGTATCGAGAAGCCCACTGTGAGTAACACTGTTGTAAAAATATGTTCAAATGTATTTGTTTTCTGATTGATAAACTATATTGTTTTCTGGAATGATACTTTTTATCAATTGAATGATGACCCTATTTTCTGAACTGTATTCATGGCATCCATAGCATATTACTATTGTTATTGATATTGTTATCACTATTGTTACAGAGATCTCTGTTAGTTCCAATCCTTGGAACTATTGTCTATTGTTTGATGACCATCAATTGATTGTTCGGTCTTTCAGACCTATTGTATTGTTGCTATTGTATGTACTACGTAGGACCTATACGAGTATGATTGATTGAATTGAACGATTGAACGACTGATTGACAAAAAAATATTGATTGAAAATGTTCTATTGATAATTTATTGTTTTAATTACTGTAAGGACATCATTCTTAACCTCTTTACACAGTTGTTATTCACTAGGCTCTAACTCACTGTTTACTATATTTATGTACGTGATCGAGCACCGGATCAAATCTAGTGGTGACGACCTGAACTCTTGTTTTGTCAAGCCAGACATTGTGCCTCATCACGAGGTTCCGAACCAACATGTGTCAAGGCTTTTTGGGTGGTTCAAATTCACCCTTGCTAAGTGAAAAGAATGTTTTATGACTTGTGTTAATACTGTTTTTGAGAATGGGATTTAATTCTCTAACCTGTGTTTTGTCTTGTATATATGTGTTTGTGGACATAAGTGGTAGTGCATATAACAATATATATGAAAGTTTATTTCCATTTAAATCCACATAACTCATTGGACGATGTATGTTATTATTTATTGGCTTCCTCCAGTCCCTTTATATTGTATTATTGTCATTATTGTTAAACAGACCTTCGGTAATCATGGATTACTAGCCGGTTACGACACTAAACCTATAGAGGCGGGTTTGGATCGTGACAGCACATCATGTTTCTGCAGTAGAGCATGTCCTATCCCAAGAGTTGCAAAGTGCCACAGAAGAACTCAGAGAACCATCTTATCAAAGGGAATCATGAAGTTTCCCAGGAGATTTCTCGATCCTTTAATGAGATGAAGAAGTCCCAACATGAGCTTACGAAGGCCATTAAGAAGATGGTGGCCATGTGTTGGAGACAAAATGTAACCGTCTACTTAGTCTATTGCCCCATAGTTTGGATCCATTGGACTACAACTAGAAGGCAACGTGCCGAAATGGTCAGTTGTCGACCTTTCAACTCCTCTTGTGAATGGTTAGGATTTATCATCCACCACCCCTGTTCCAGGAGGATGACTTACAGACATTAAAAAGCATCATGTCCAAAGGACCCCAGAAAGAATAGAAGATCCTTCTGTCTAACAATCAGGACTTCAGAAAATGTTAAGATCCTTTTGTCACACCAATATGGAATCCTCCTAACCATTGTACAAACTTCCTACAGCTGGTCTCAGGGGAAGAGGGGTAACATCCGCTTTTCCAACCCTTTGCTAATATATCAGACATTTATGGTTCAGAGTCATAACAACCTTCTTCTGTGCATC